TTTGGAGGAAATCACTCCAAGGCCAGCTAATCTTATTTTTTTTTTAAAGATTTTATTTATTTTATTTTTACAGCAAGGTCCAGGGAGGAAGAGAGGGAGGGGAACATTGATGTAGGACCGAAACATAGATCAGTTGCGTCTTGTACATGTCCCAGCCAGGGACCAAACCTGCAACCCAGGCATGTGCCTGGGATTTGAACCGGCGACCTTTCAATCTGCAAGTTGATACTCAACCAACAGAACCACACCAGTCAAAGCCCAACTGATAATCTTTATCCTGGCATTCAGGTCACACATGTAGATGACAAAGAAGAGAGCAGCAAGGATCATCTCAGCCACTGAAAGAGAAGTATGCTGATGTGGAGGTGATGAAATAGAGCAGAATGAACAGGCACAATATAATCTCTGCAAACGGCAGACTTCCCTTGAGGGTGCGCATGAAGTTATTGCAGGCCGCCCAGCAGCCGGAGGAGAGAAGTGCTTGAAATCCGTCATGGTGTGGGCCAGCGTCTCTAGGGGTATAGACAATCCCCTCATTAAATCTGTGTTTTCTTTTTCCTTTTTTTCTCCTCAATTGCATATACCATATTCCCTATCTCTAAGATACCAGAAGTCACACAGATTGGAAGTGAGGTTTCTTCTGTATCAAAAGTCCTTTGGAGAGTGGTTAAAAACTTTTGTTACAGGCCATATAAAGTGTTATTATTTGTAGATGCTTTCCTCTGGCTGAAAGTATGTGAAGAAAGAAAAGAGTAAATTTAATTAACTTATTTTGACATACAGAGCTGCAGTTTGGCTCGTGAGATGGACAAGGCAGGAGGGTCCCAGGGTTATAGCTGAATTGGGTAAAAGCACACACATACAAATTTTTTTTTTTTTTGCCAAGAGGAGGCTAACCATGGGGCATCCAATCTGAAGTATAATGAAAAAGACAGTGGGAGACAGAACAGATTGTCGGGAAGGATACTGATATGTTCAGGAGAGTAGAATAGGTCAGAGGTAAGTCTGTAAAAGGTACATGTATGCTGGAGCTGTGTTCACCAGACTGGAAGTTCCTTCAAGGGAGGGACTGTGTCTGGCTTGTTGACTTCAGTACCTACCTCACACTCTAATAGAGAGGAGACACCCTAAGTGGTTGTTGAATGGATAGAGACATGAAGATTTGAAGAAATTGCAGAGTTCTCTCTCTTTAAATAAATAAAGTGGAATGATTCTTTTGAAAATGTTACTTTGGGATGGTTGGAGGTGGCAGGGCTCAAAAAAAAGGTCACTCCTTTGATTAAACTCCTTTGATGGTTTCCTATCTCATGTTCAAAAAAGGCCTTCAACAATATGCAAAATATCCTCATCACTTTTTAAATGTACAGAATTATATATCTCATTTATAAATCATAATAGAACCAGTCATTTTCTCCAGAAGCAGACACTGAAGCAAAGATTTGAGTGCAAGTCATTTGTTTAGGAGATGACCCCAAGAAGCGTCAGTCAGGAGTGGAGAAGTGAGCCAAGGATGGGAAGGAAGCCAGGGTGCAGTTTACCACTCTGGGCAACTGGAGCTGTCTTGCTGGAGGCCCTCTGGGAGACAGTGTAGTACATGCTTCAAAGTTGGTCCACCCCAGGGGTGAGGAAACAAGTTTACCCATCTACTGCATACCATTTCACTACTGCTCCCAGAGGCATAAAGCCCCTGACTTTTGTATGCAGTCAGAGAAGGCCCTTAGGGCCAGAGGAAGCCTACAGGCAGAGTTGCAGGTGCTTGCAGTGAAGTTTTCAGACACATGAGACAAGCGACTAAATAGTTCATTAGGTTTTGGGCCTATCCCCACTAAGTGACTTTTATTATTTGGCACCTGACCTAGGTCTGCCTACAGAGAAGAACATGTTTTGTAGTATCTCTTTGATGCTGCCTCCAAAATATCTTCTGAATCAGTACACCTCTTGTCCAGGCCGCCAACCTCCTTTGTACTGCACCAGTAAACTGTTAACTGCTCTCAGCCTTTCTGGTCCTGCCCTCCCCCCAACCCCTTTTTTTCTCACAGAGCTACAGTTATCTTCATAAAATGAGAATTGATTAATGTGCTCCTGGGCTAACTCTTCAGGGATTTTTCATTGAATGTAGCATGAACCCACATACAATTTCAAAGATGTTTACTATCTGACCCTTGCTTAGATCTCACTGTTCTTTCATTATGTCCTCTTCAGCTCCAACTTTTCAGACCAACTGAAAGAATGTTAGAGGCCCTGCTGTAGAGCTTTTGTACATGCCCTTTCCCCAGCCTAGATCATATGCCCAGGATATTTTTCCACTAAGTCTTCACTTTGTTTCCTTTTCATCTTTCTGGACTCCCTTTATTTTCCTTTCCTCAGACAGGTCTTTGCCAACACCTGTCCCAACTCTCTCCCACACTATCTCCCACCCCCAAACAAAACTAAAAACAAAATAGTTTCCTAGCTGTAATCTTTCCCAAAACTCTGTACTTTTGCTTCAGAGTAAATCTGTGGACCAGACTGCTGCAACCTCTCCAGGTTGGTTCTCTGGCTCCAACTGCCTTTCCTTTAGACTGTAAGTCTCAAAGTTCAAAGAAAAGAAGGGCCTTAAGGGAGCCAGACAGGTTATATAAATGAGTGGGTGGAGACAGTAGCAAACTAGAGAGCACGTAGCAACCACTCAGAATTCCAGCTATTTGTCACCAGAATTTGCTGAACTGATTTGATTTCTTTTCCCCCCAAGAGACCAAGAATCTTAATTTTCATGAGAGAAATTCTAATTTTTAACTGTTGGAATAAAAAAATTAAACCCCCCTGAGTAGAAGAGCCAAAACTATCTTTTCTTTTTAAAGATTTTATTTATTTTTAGAGGGGAAGTGGGGAGAAAGAGAGGGAGAGAAATATCAATGTGTGAGAGATACTTTGATGGTTTACCTCTGGCACACCCCAGCTGGGGATCTGACCTGCAACCCAGGCATGTGCCCTGACTGGGAATCGAACCGGTGACCTTTTGATTTGCTGGCTGGCTCTCAATCCACTGAGCCACACCAGCTAGGGCCAAAACTATCTTGAAAGATAGCAAAGTGGTAGGTCTCATCCTTCCTGATTTCAAAAGTTATTACAAAGCTACAGGAATCAAATAGCATGGTTCTGGCATGGAGACATACACAATGAGCAATGTAATAGAACAAAGAGCCCAGAAATAAACCCTTACATATGGGTTTATTAAAAGTCAGATGATTTTTAACAAGGATTCCAAGAGAAAAATACCCTCCCCACCCCCAAAAGGCCTGAGTCAGCCAACAAAACAAGTTTATCATGGGATACAATTTGAAGTCTTTGTCTTCCATCAGTGAATCTCAAACTTGAGCACGCATCAGGATAACCTGGTGGGCTTAAAACAGGATGCTGGCATTCACCCCTAGATTTCTGAATTAGTAAGGTGGAGGTGAAGCTCGAGAATATGCGTTAGGTTCCTAGGTGTTGTGAGGCTACTGCTATAGATCCAAGGATTTCACTTTAAGGGCTACTATATTAGGTATTACTGCAGAGTACTATTTTTATTTCTGTGTTACCAGTTTGTGATATATCTTTGGTTCTGGAGTCTGTGAAAGTCTAAAGTGTCTGCCATGTCCTTAGCCATGCATTCTGCCATGTGCCCCTGTTTCTCTGGCTAGTAGTATGTTGTACCAGGGGTGTCCAACCTTTTGGCATCTCTGGACAACACTGGAATAAGGATAGTTGTCTTGGGCCACACACTGCATACACAAACACTAGTGAAAACTAATGAGCAAAAAAATTTTTAAGTAACTATGACTTTGTGTTGGGCCTCATTCATAGCCATTCTGGGCTGCATGCAGCCCAAGGGCCGTGGGTTGGACACCCCTGCGTGTAGACAAAGGGCTAGACCTAATAGGTTGGGCACAGCAACTCTGCCCAATTTTGCACAATATATGGTGAATAATTCAATTAGAATAATTCCATCCAGTTTTGAATACAAGACACAGGAAGACAGGTCAGGTAGAAGCAGAAGCTAAAAGAAGCTTAATTCTGGTGGAATAGCGAAACTAGTTAAGTCCCCAGAGTTGCTTCTTCTTACCTCAAGCAGTATGAACTACATTACACTGCCATGAGGCCTGTGTGGCTGAAATGCTTCCTGTGCTTACCCACTTCCTCCTGTGACCCTAATATAAGCTTGCATTTCTCTGCTAACAGACAAGTCTCTCTTCCGTGTTTCTTGTAAGATCCTCCCACCCTCTGTTTTTATAGTTCTGATATCTCTGTAACACTGAGTTTCTGCTTTTCTATGGAAGGAAACAATATTCCATTTTGATTTAAAAATGTGACTCCTTAAGTATGAGCTTTTATTGAGTATAAGGAAAAATTATGAACTGTGCCTTCACCCATGAGACAAGAATTACTCCATCTGCCAAAATGCATTCTAGTAATTGCAATACATGACTCAGGAAACATTCTGGTATTGCTATAAAAATCTGGAAACACAGCTCATCCCAGCATCTAGCTTCTCCCTTGATTGCCCCTGAGCCAGTTAATTTAGTGGACAGAATTTTTAAAAAAAACAACCTTAATGGATTTCCTTGCTTCTAGGCTCTCCAGTCCTTTCTCCCCTGGAAAAGGAGAAAGCAGCCTGTAGTTTTGAAAGGGGGCGGGAAAACAATGCTTCAAACAGATACTGTCTACAGTGGAAAACCAGGCCTTAATACAGGTAGTGAGTTTTTCCTTACCAGGGGAGCGTCAGGAGGCTGCACGGCTGCCTAGAAACGGCCACAGAGGGGAGAGCTGCCCCAAGCCTCTCCCAACACAAGGCTGAGAAGCAGTGATAGGGGAGCGGCCTTCGGGCTAGGAGATACTGAGGTTAACTCCCAGGCACCACAGGGGGACCAATTGGGGCGGGCGTTGTGATCCGGGACTTGGGCGAGACTCTCAGCCAACCTTGTAACAGACGCTGGTGACGCGAGGCTGCTCGCCAGCTTGTGACGTCATTCCACAGCGCCGGAACTGGTGCGGCGCGGAGGCGCGACGTGACGGTGTCTCCGTGGTTTGGAGGTAAGGAAGTTCGGGCCTACGTCCTGTGCTGCCCGTGTTCAAGTCGTGGTCGTGGGCCTTAGGTCAGGTTCGCTTCTGCCTGTGAACGACGGGCCGTGAATAACGCTCTCAGTGCTTCTTTGCCGGCAGGCGTTGCTCCGTCCTTGCGCTCCGGGGCTCTCGGCTACCCACTTTCCTACCGCTCCCTTGGGCCGTGTTTGGCGGCGCTCGCGTAGGTCTCCGCCCCCTTCGCGTTCGTTCACCTGTGACCCCGACACCAGTACCTATCCTGGTCGCGACACAAGCAGAGAAAGGTTGGAGAGTGGGCACTGCCCAACCCGTGGAGGCACTCAGCTTGTCAGGAAGGACATTGTTTTTTGAGAAACGCTCCCTTAAAGGAACTTGAGGGCCCTTCACAGCGTCCTCAACAGGGCTTACGGGAAGGCCCGAAGAAGCAAGCCTGTTCTCACGCAAACCCGTAATAGTGGTTCAACAAAACAGGGATATCATTTCCACTTGGGATTAATATGGCCCAGGTTTGCAGCCCTTTGGGAATCGGACTTATGTTGGGAATCTGATTTATATTGGGGATCGTTAGAACACTTGGGAGAGGACTGTTCATATGGGAAGACGATACAGATTTGTATCTTTTCACCTTAGTTGCACAGTCTGTTGTGGGATGGTCTTTAGCTCCTGCTTTCATCCTACCTTTGTAAACGAGTGATAAGAGTTTGGAATGCTTACTTTTTTTGCCACACACTGATCTTTACATACTTCCTCATTTAGCCCTTGCAGTTATTGTTTTCCAGCTGAAGAAGTAACGGCTTAGGTTAAATAACTGGCCTCAAGTCACACAGCAAGTAGGTGGTGGAGCCACTATTTGAACTCAGGCATTTGGACTCCAGAGCCCTGGACGCTATCCATTATTCTATATTGATTTTATTCAGTTGTTCATTAAGTTCTCGTACACCTCACTTTGTTGTAATCTGCTATTTTATGGAGAAAATTGAGGTCATCTGATGTGCTTTTCCTTAAATTTCTGCCTCCTCTTTCCCTTTAACAAAGTCATCTAGGTTTACAGCCACCTTTACCTTAAGCAAATCTCTACCTGTGTTTCTGACCTTTGTTTTATACCCTCACCTGTGCGGCTTTGTTTTCATTTGTCTTTTCTGTCCCTGTCCCAGTCATGTATAAACAAGGTCAGATTTCTCAGATTCCTGGCCATCCCTCATCCCTACTCCCACCCTGTAAGCCAGAAACAAAAGAGAAAGTTCATCGTGATCATCTTCTGTTAGCTGCCATCCAGTAACTTTTCCCCCTTCTTACTGAAACTGTTTTAAAGTGTATTCTAAATTCTGTCTCCATTTATTCACTTCCCGTTCCCTTCTGCAGTCTAGCTTTCAGACCTATTATTCCCCTGAAATTTTACTCTAAGGTAACCAGTGATTGATTTTCAAACCAGATAGACATTTTAAAATCATTACTGGATCACTTTGCTGCTTCTGAAACTTTGATACCTCTCACTTCCTTCTTTGCTTTCCAGGGTAATACACTCAGCTGATTTGTTTTGTTAACATTTATTATAATAGAGATGAGTAAGGCAAAGTACCTTTCCTTAAGGAGCTTATGTTTCAGCTGTCTCTGCATGTTCCTCTCACACCAGTCATTTCTCCTGTGGTTAGGCTTTATCCTCTCCTAAAATGTTGGATGTTCCCAATGCTTGTGACTTTGGTCCACTGTTCTTTTCATTCTGTACACACTGTCTCAGCGAGCATATCACCTGGCTTGGTTTTAAGTCCCTACATTCTGTCAAATTGTCATCTTAGACCCCTTTTCTGAGTTTCACCCTCACCTCTGACTACCCTGCTGGATGGCTCTTTGTGTAAGTCCCACAGGCAGTTCAAATTCAGAGGCCCAAAACTGAATTCAGTATCTTCCCTGAACTTACTCTATTACATTCATCAACTAAATCCCGATGATTTTACTGTCTAAATGTTTCTCAAATCTGTGCTCTCTGCTATTGTCCTACTTTAGGTCTTATCATCTCTTACCTGTAACATGATGGGCTTCTAACTGGTTTCCCTGCCTCTAGTTCTGTTCCCCACATACCTGTTCTCCAGATTATCTACCTCCTCCCCTAAATCGTCTTTGAAAACATCTGCGTCTAAGTCCTGCTTAATAATCTTTAAAGAGCTCTCTATTCTTTCATCTGATGTTTCCTCTTATTCATTCAGCAACTATTTATTGTTTACTGAATTACGAAATCCAGTGGAACTTCTAAAATTTGAGTTTCTCAGCCAGTCACCCAGGGCTCTGCTTCATTTGGACCTTTTTGCATCTCTAAGCCTGTTTTCTGTCTCATGCTTTAGATTGCGGCAACACTGAACTGCTTCTTCATATGCAGAGTGCTGTTTCTTTGTGTACTTGACTTTGCTCTTCCCTTTGATTGGAATCTTCTCCCCGATTTCTTTCTCCATTTTCTGCTTTTTACCTAATTAGGCTGCTCCCTCTTACCTAATTAACCTGGTTTATATTCAGTACATAGGACTCATTTTTAGGCCCACCTCCTATAGAAACTTTTTCTTGACACCTCCTTCCTCCAACTTTAGGTTGGGTACTCCACCTTTGTGCTCCCATAAAACCCTTTTGACAGCAGGTATGATGTATTATAGTTGTATCATACGATGAAAATAAAATGTGTTATGTCTTTATTCCTAGCACCAAAATGGCTTGAGGAACATAAAGTAATTTTTGGCACAAGGGCATGAAGTAATTTTTATTTTAATCCTTACCTGAGGATATGTTCAGTGATTTTAGAGAGAGAGGAAGGAAGAGAGAAATGTTGATCAGTTGCCTTCCATGTGTACCCCTACTGGGAATCGAACCCACAACCTAGGTATGTGCCCTGACTAGGGATTGAACCCATATGGGACAATGCTCCAATGAACTGAACCACCCAGCCAGGGCATGGGCATGCTGTAACTTTGACAGAATGATCAAATTAGTGAAGACAAAAGGTACTGATATATGGTGCAGTGATTGAGAACTTGTTCTTTGGATTATTTCAATCCCAGCTCTGGCACGCATTGGCTGTGTGACTTGAACACAGTACTTATCTTCTTTAAGCCTTAAATTTTCTCTTCCTTAGAATGAAAGTTGTAGTGAAGATTAAATGAAATGATACACATAAAGACATTTAGCAAGTGTCTAGCACATAGTATGCACTTGATAAAGGTATGTTGAACACTGAGGGATGTAGGAGTATAAGACCAGGCCTGAAAACCCACGGCAGTGATCTCCAGAGCGCCTTCCTCTGCGTTTTCTGAATGGATGGGCATTGATGCAGTCTGTGTTCAAGGAGATTTTATTCCTATTGGGAGAGTAGAATTACATCCACATTTAAGTTTTAGAGAATTGTGAAGGTAAATGGACCACACCCTATGACAAGATGTAGAGAAGAGAAGACAGCTCAGTGAAAGCCTGAGGGAGGAGGTGGGGCTTGAAAGTTGTCAAGGGCTTAGGCATCTAGGAGTGAGGAAAGAGTATAAACCAACAATACCAGGGGATATTAAGAACTATTTATTTGGGAGACATGTATCTGTACATTGATATATGTGTGAATCTGGGGGAAGGGAGGAGAGAGGATGGGTAGGTGGGACTAGTCCAATGAAAAGAAGTGGGAGGAGAAATAAGTAATCTCTATGGGTTTAGAATATGAGGATCTTAACTTCAAGCCTGGGGGATTTGGGATTGATTAGGGCTGGGCAAGTTTCCAGGGCTGTGCTGGACATTATGGTAGCGATCAACCACATTTAACCAGCCATTTAAGTTTAAAAGAAATCTAAGATGCATAGTTCCTCTGTTGTGCTAGCTACATTTCAGACCGTCACCTAGTGGCTACATTATTAGTGCAGGTTTAGAATACTTCCATCATTGCAGAAAATTTTACTGGACAGCATTCTTCCAGGTTATCAGATTGCTGACCTTGTAGGGCCTATCAGATCACTTGGGTTCCTTAAGAAATAATCAGAATTTCTTTCTGACAGTTGCCACAACTCTGGAACGGAAAGTATGGAGATGGAAAACAGAATTAGGATTTATCCACATAGATGGGAGGATGGGATTGCCCAAAGAGAGGAGCAAAGCACCCCATGTGAGAGGGGGTGCCAGAGAAGGGAAGAGAGAAAGTAGGGAAGACAACTTGGATAGGTCATCTGGTCATTCACTTGCAAATATTTATTGTATTCGTACTGTATGCCAGTATTAAGTGCTGAGCTATACTGGTAAACAAATGTGGACTTAACTTCTGCTGTTGTAGAGCTTGCAGTTTATGGAGTTTTACTGGATGGACTATATTGAAGATTAAGGAACACCCATCCTTAAGTGCTCCCTGTTTTCTAAAATGCTTCATTCCTACAAGTTAGAACTACAGTCTGAAATGGGCCAAGATATTACTTAAGCTTAGTTGCATAAGTAATGTGTAGTCACTCTTTCAGCTTCTCAAGGAGTACTAAATTGGAACATCATTACTTCAGAACATTGGGGGGGAATGAAGCATGGGAGTATGTGTTTGTGTAGGGCAGGAGGGGTAGGTCCTATTATCCTGCAGCAGCCAGCCGTGCTCTCAGCTGTTCATTGGATTCTTTCCTGTCTCTGCTGTCAAACTGCTCTCTCCCGGCTTCTCTTATTACTACAGTGAGGAGTCAGTCATGATCACATGACTTCTCTCCCAGTGCCTAATGGAAATACACTTCTAAGTGCATTACCTGCTCACTCATCAGTTTCCAGCAAGAACAAACAGACACCTTTCTGAGCATTTAAAAGTGGGGCCTGCTTCTAACACCGTCATCATTTGAAGCTCCAGATGAAGATTTTAGATTTACAGCTGACTTCATGCTTTGGCATCAGCTCCTTCACAAAGACCTGCTAAACTGCCTTTTGAACTTCACTCTGGCCACATTGTATTAACAGCCTCCTGACTAATTTTTTAAAAAAGCTTTTACTCATTTATTTAAGAGAGAAGGGAAGGAAGGAAGAAAGAGAGGGAGAGAAACATCAGTATGTGAGAGCTACATCGATTGGTTGTTTCTTGCACTTCCCCAGCTGGGGACCAGGCCTGCAACACACGCATGTGCCCTCACTGGGAACTGAACCAGTGACCTTTTGGTTCACAAGCTGGTGCTTGGTCCACTGAGCCACACAAGCCAGGGCCTTGTTGATTTTTGACTCTACATTTTTCCACTCCAGCCTGTTTATACACAGCTGTTTCACCTTACTGTGTTGCTCAGAACCTCGCAATTGTCTCTTATTGATTGTCAGATCTCAACTTTTCAGCTTAGTGTTCTTTCAACCCCTGTGCCTTTTTTTTTTTTTTTTTGTTACCCTTTGGGGCAGCTCCTCTGGCTCAGCCAGCTAAGGTCTGCTTTCTTCCCCTCACCAATGGCTCGTCATTGCTGAAATCTGTGCTGTCAATTGCGTTTTTAAAAATGGGATGTTCCCTCCCACTCCTTTTCTTTCTTAGCAATCCCATTGGCTCCTGGCCTTTTCAGCTGGGTGGTTTCAGAAACCTTTCCTGACCCAATTTCTATGACTTGGCACCTCTGAGGACTTACATATTCACTCTGCCTTGCATTGTCCTATCTTTGCAGATGGGAATGAAACTCTGATTTTTAAAATATCTTTTCTCACCCCTTTGGACACAGAGCTTGTGCAGAGAGCCTGATAGATGTTGCCTTGCTTACAGGGGATATTAAAGCGAGGGTATTAGAGGTTTGAGCATTGGTAAGTTTAGGGAGTCCAGAGAGGCATCCCAAAGATCTAGTGCTGTTCCTGCACATGATTCCCTGCTCTACCTCCCTGGGTGATCTCATGCTCTCTCTGCCTCCCTCTCATATATGTATATACATTCGGTCCATTCCTCTCCTTGAACTTCATGTCTGTACATCCAGCTTGGCCCTTGGATCTTTCATAGGCAACTTAAACTAATTGTTTTAATCTGAAATCATCCTTTCTTCACCTACCATTTATCCCCAAGTTATGGCTCTTTGTTTATTCTTACTTTTGATTAATGAGTATTTCCAATTACTCCTTTGTCATTCCTCCTGTGCAGTCACAAGTTAAGTCTACCTTCATGATTTCTTCTGGCTCTTCCTCTCCCTCTCTTTCGTTCTGCCTTTGTTGAGGTAGAATTTCTTGTCTCTTTCTCTTCTGCTGATTCTTTACTTGGTCTTAACAGTCGTTTTTCAAATGAGCGCCTCATCTCTACTGTTGTGCAGGTTGTGTATTGCACAAAGGTGCTGCATTCGTACTTTAGAAATTGTAGGTTTGTATATTTCTTACGACAGTCTTTTGGCAGATGGCAGTAAAATGTACATTTTAACATGAGTATGTTATGATGGTTAAGGAAGGGAAATCTTCTAATACACATAAAGTGTCTGTGGACTGAAGAACGTCTTCTGTTCTTATGTCCTTAGTTTTCTGACAGGTAAACTCCTTTTTGTCCTTAAAAAAAAAACCCAGCATAAATATCCCTTATTAGTAAAGCCTTTTTTGATACTTTCTGTAAGAGTTAGTTATTCCTTTGCCTGGGCTAATGCCATTTTTGGTTACTTCCTTAAAATGCTTATCACATTATATTTTAAGAGTTGGTGTATGAGTCTATCTGTCCCATTGTACTCCAGGCCCTGCAAGGAAAAGGACAGTGTTTAATCATTCTTAGAGCCTCAGCATATAGCTTAATGCTCAGCACACAAAGTATACCAATAAGTATAACAAATATTTGATTGGTTGGCATGATTCAGGCACAGGGGTGAATACTTTACTCATCTTATTTAATCCTCATGAGTCCTTATGAGTCCTGTCATCATCACATTTTACAGGTAGGAAATTGAGACTAGGGAGGTGAAGTTACTTGTCTCAAGACGAACAGCTTGTAAATGCACGTGTGGTATGCCGGGGTGTGGCTCTGGAGGACTTGTGCTAGTTTTTTCAGTGATTGTCTTCTGTTTGTCTCTCAGAGTAATGATGCGGGTGTGCTGGTTGGTGAGACGGGACAACCGGCACCAGCGGATCAAACTTCCACATTTGGAAGCAGTCGTGATTGGGCGTGGCCCAGAGACCAAGATCGCTGATAAGAAATGTTCTCGACGGCAAGGTAACTGGTCACAAGAATGTGGAGAGTAGCATGTGTGTTTCCTTGAGTAGTAATAACCAAAGGTGCACATTCTTTGGGTGCTAATAATAGAAAACCTTTTGCCTGCTATAAACAAAACTCAGGAACTGAGCTCTTTTAGCCAAAACCAGGGCCCTATTTGCTCCTGATTCCACCCTCTGAGAGCAGTTACTATTCAGTGTTGAGAACAGGCATGTCCTTCCTGTTACTGTGGGTGGTGGGCCTGATCCTGCACCTGCTTTGCCCAGGGAGTGTCCATGTTGGGCAGTGAGACAGTTGAGTTTTGAGATCTCCATCCTGGAACCATGTCCGAGAAGTGATGAGATGGTTCTGTCCTTTACATATTGCCTCATACAGGGGTGGTATCTTTATAAGACTATGGCATTTAGCTCTTGAAATGTCATCCTGGGATTTAATGAAATGAAAGTCCTTAGGAAAAAGCCTTACCATATACCTCCGTTTTTTGCCTGTAAACTTCTGGACTATTAGTAGTAGGTAAGGGAGTGTGTACACTTTTGGACATTTTATGGGAGGATTTGGAGCCCCAGCCACCTGTATAACAGGCAGTTTTGCTCATAGGCCTTTGAGGAATCTCTTGTCAAGTTGCCTCCTAGAGTGAGACTTCATTGTTCTGTAGAGACAATAAGAATAAGTGCATGGTTCTTCATGGCATTTGAGTTTAACTTTTTTCAATCTCTTTCAGTACAGTTGAAAGCAGAATGTAACAAAGGATATGTCAGGGTAAAGCAGGTATGTCTATTTGTACCTTGGATTTCCATTTTATACTTGATTTTCTCATGCTGTTGACTTTTTGGAGTGTCTGTGCCAGCCAATAACTCTCCTCTCTCATGTGTGGAAGTGATGGAGTAACATAAGTGAACATTAAGCATGGTGCTTGGCACATAGTAATTGGTTAACATAGCAGTGGCTGTATTTGTAATGGGGTTATTATTATTATTATAATCATTTTCTTATTATTTCCTAGGTAGGGGTCAATCCCACCAGCATTGACTCAGTCATAATTGGGAAGGACCAAGAGGTGAAGCTGCAGCCTGGCCAGGTTCTCCACATGGTGAATGAGCTTTATCCATATATTATAGAGTTTGAGGAGGAGGCAAAGAGCCCTGGCCTGGAGACAAACAGGAAGAGAAAGATATCAGGCAGCAGTGATTCTGTAGAAAGGGATGCTTCCCAGAAAGCTGAGCCCAGTACAGAACTGCAACCTGGGAGTGACACTAGCCAATGCTTTGTGCCCCCAAACAAGGAAACAAATGCATCTACCAAAAAGGTGAGGATAGTGTGCCTGATAGATGATGGGGAGATTAAATGAGATATAATGACTGCTTAATTGTTTTGTATACTATAAAACCCAGGCATACATGAGGGGTTATTTATTAACTATGGCAAGGGTTATTAACCATGATGAAAGAGTCACTTGTTAGTGTCATTAGTCAATTTTCTCTTGAATTCCTGAGGTAAGCCACTTGAAGGTAGGGGGATAATGGCATTGTACTTAACAATGAGCTACTAAAATGGGTCAGTCATTTGTAAATCAAGAAGGTTTACATTGAAACCGGTTTCATGGATTGTGTGATTCACATCCTGATGTCAAAGTGGAAACCTAGTCAGGCTTAGGTGGAGTAGGAGAGGACATACCCCTCTGAATATAGGAAGAAAATGAGGCTTACTTGTGGTTATACGGGCAAAAGATTGAGATAAAGGGGATATAGTTTAATTCTTAAAAATTAACCTTATTTAAGTCCTGGCGGGGTAGCTTGGTTGGTTAGAGCATCGTTCCCATATGCCCAGGTTGCAGGGTTGATCTCTGTCAGGGCACATACAGGAATCAACCAATGAATCGACCAATAAGTGAAACAACAAATCAATGTTTCTCTCTTTTTCCCTTCCTCTCTCTAAAATAAATTCTTAAAAATTTCACCGTATTTCCAAGTTTGGTTGGACTTTGTTGACATACAGTGTTAACTAATGCCACATTTAACTATTGGCATTTGTGATTTACATTGTCCTTGTTTGTTTTAGGAATCATTAGGCCACTGGAGTCAAGGCTTGAAGATTTCTATGCAGGACCCCAAAATGCAGGTGAGAATAAAATTTTGGCATTGAAGTATATTTCATATTTTAAATGGCCATCTGCAGAGGTAATAACTACAAATGAAGTCAAATGAGATCAGTAATCCTGAATAAGATTAAAAAAAATTATTTATTTATTTATTAGAGAGAGGGGAAGGGAGAATGAAAGGGAGGGAAAGAAACATCAATGTGCGAGAGACACATTGATTGGATGCCTCTTGCACGCCATCAACTGGGGACCTGGTTGGCAACCCAGGCATGCGCTCTGATTGGGAATCAAACCAGCAGTCTTTCAGTTTGCAGGTCAACACTTAGTCCACTGAGCTACACCAGCCAGGGCTGAATGAGATTTGTTTTATTGGGCTACTTTGTGAGGACAAGTAGCTTTTCCCATTGTTAGTTGAGCACCTGGAATTCTTTGGAGAGAAGCTAAGTTCTTCAAATGAATATTCCGTCTGTGTTTCCCTCCTCAACTTCTGGATACTGTTAAGGGAAGTTAAGTTAACCTTACTGTGGTTCCTTTCAAGAGAGTGCTGGATAATGTACTGTGACTGTAGTTACAGGCTTCCCTGGGATTAATAGTTAGGCATCACCCTGGGAGGGGTCTTTGAATTCTTCTTAAATTACATCCTGGGATGACAAGGGGCCAGAACTGATAGGGCTTCTTGGAACACACGTGCAGACATCATGTGGTCTGCTGTGGCAGAGTGGAGAAAGGAGCATTTGAATTGATGTCTAAAGGGATTTCACATCAGGTCCTTAGGAACTACTTTGTACTGCGCATCTTCTGTGTATTCTGTTTAGTGTAGTGATTAAAACACAGATTAGAGTCCACTAGACCTGGGATGCAATCCTAGATTTTCTACTTAGTAACTGTGACTTTGCACAAGGCACTCAACTTACCTGAGTCTCTGTGCTTTCATCTATCAAAATTGGGATACTAAAACCTTTTGCAGAAGATTGTGGTGGGGATTAAATGAGTTAATGAATATGACATCACCTGGTACACAGAAGATGCATGAAAGACATTTGTTTCCTTTTCCTGTGCCTCTCTGCTAGGTTTACAAAGATGAACAGGTGGTAGTGATTAAGGATAAATACCCTAAGGCACGTCACCACTGGCTGGTCTTACCATGGGACTCCATTTCCAGTCTGAAGGCTGTGACCAGGGAACACCTTGAGCTCTTCAAACACATGCATGCTGTGGGGGAAAAGGTGATTGCAGATGTTGCCGAGTCCAGCAAACTCCGCTTTCGATTGGGTTACCACGCCATTCCCAGCATGAGGTAAGCCTTTTGGATAGTGCTGGTATGTCCTGATTTTGTCTAGGTGGACAAATGGATTCGATATGAGCCTGCTAAGCGTGCCGACGGCCGTGAGGCCCAGGGGAGTTGGGGGGGATGTTTCCAAGGCAGGCTGGCTGAAACTGCCGTCCCTCTGTCTGACTTGCCTGTAAACCTTGAGTTCCTACTTCTGCTTGTAATTCAAGCACATACTTTTTTTAGTTCCGCTCAAAGGGTAAACTTCTGAGGACCTAACCTATGGACTAGATGAAGAAGCTTTACTATTCTCTGATTTAGAATTGTGGTCAGTGACTTTTCAGAAGCCTCTATAACCCCTAAGAGATTAAGGACCATTGTTCTGAAGGAGACAGACATCACTGACTTCTGTCATGACAGCTTAGTAGATCTAAGATTTAAAACAAAATGAGAGAAAAATGCAGAGCCTGTTTTCTTTTGGCTCGTAGCTAGAAGGATTCAGAAAGGAATGATTGCTTATTTTCAAAGAATGCAAGCAAGGCAGATGGCCACAGTTATTTACAGCTAGCTAAGCAGCAAGATAAGCAGGCTAATTGGATTTCAGAGTTTTTATCTTGGGTGTTTTTTTTTGTTTTTGTTTTTTGGTGGTAAACATAACATAAAATTTACCATTTTAACCATTTTCAAGTGTACAGTTCAGTGGCATTATGTACATTTACATTGTGCAACCATCACCACTGTTTCTAGAACTTCCTTTATCTTCCCACACAACCTTCCTTTCCATCCTCCCAGCCCCTCAAACCATCATTCTACTTTCTCTCTCTATGAATTTGACTACTCTAGGTACTGCATATAAGTGGAATTATATAGGATCTGTCTTTTTGTGACTAGCTCATTTTACTTAATGTAATTTTTCAAGGTTCATCCATGTTGTACCATGTATCATAATATCTTCTGATTATTGTTTTTTTAAGCACCCAACACTCTTTACACTTTATTTAGGTGGGTAGTTAGGCTACTTTCACCTAATGAAATTTTTGTGCCACATATTTTTCTTCCATCAGTATTCTTTCTTTGAAATTAAGCCATACATACATGGAATAAAATGTGTAATAAGATTTGTAGTTTGGTCAGTTTTGACAAATGTACATACCATGTATATCACTCTGATCAAGATACAGAACATTTCTGTCCTCTTGTCCTAGAAATCTCCTTTGTGTTCTTTCCAGTTAATCTTCCGCCAAGCATTGTTATGATTTCTTTCAACATAGAAGGGTTTTGTCTGTTCTAGAAGTTATAAAAGGAATCATAAATATATACTATTTTTCATTCTGGCTTTCTTTGGTCAGCATGACAGTTTTGAAATTCATGCATGTTGTGTATATATCATGGACATACTTCAGTTTTTTGATTATGGGTAAATACCTAGAAGTGGAATTGCTAGGTCATAGGGTGAATGTATGTTATACCTTATTAGAAAAATATTTTTTATTGTTAAAACCTTCCTTAAAAATTTAGGGCAAAAGTCACCCATAATGCTATTTCTCTAATGCTACAGAGCTTGTGAATAACAGAGCCCTTGACTGCATAGCCCTTTTCCCATTAGTAACCATGGTGTCTGTGTGTTTTTCATATAATAAATGCTGTTGTGCTAAGGAAAATGGTAAAAGCAACAGCTGTGGCAGGTGTGTCGGAAACAAAATGAGCAGTAAGTAAAGTTGCCACTTAATATCCTTTTATGATCACTCTTTATGATACAATTTTGAATAAATGTTATAGGAAGGAAAAGGTAACAAATAACTTTTTTTTTTGTTGTAAAAGTAACGTATTTTCAATTTAGAAAATATAAAAAGGGGAAGTATGAAGCAGAACAAAAATCTTCCATAACATCACCACAATTAAACTCTAGACTAGACCTTATTCAAACTTCACCCATTTTTCTTATAATCTTTTTCTACTCCAGGATCCAATCTAGGATCCTGCATTGCGTTATTTTATTATCTCTCCTTAGTCTCTCCTAGTTTGCAACAGTTCTTCCTTTCCTGGTTTTTATGACCTTGACACTTTTTAAAACAGTTTTATTTATTTATTTTTAGAGAGGGGAAATGGAGGGAGAAAGAGTGAGAGAAATATCAATGTGTGGTTGCCGCTCATATGCCCCCTACTGGGGACCTGGCCTGCAACCCAGGCATGTGCCCTGACTCAGAATCAAACTGGTGACCCTTTGGTTCATGGGCTGGTGCTCACTCCACTGAGTCACCCCAGCCAGGGTGACCTTGACACTTTTGATGAGCACTGGCTAGTTATGTTAATAGGCTTTCTCTCAGTTTGGGTTTGTCTTGATGTATTTTCATGTTAAATTGAGGTTATGTTTTTTGTTTTTTTGCCAAAATGCCACAAAAGTGATGTGTCCCTCTTAGTGCATCATATCAAGGAGTGCATGATGTTCATATGGTTTATAACTCATGATGCTCACCTTGATCACTTTGTTAAGGTGATGCCTGCCAGGTTTCTCTACTCAAAGTTACTATTTTTTCCTTTGTAAGTGATGAATATCTTGAATATTTTGAGACTGCTACTATCTTGTTCCTCCTCAGACTTTTGCGCAGTAATTTTAGCATCTCTCTTGGTGGATCTTGCCTGCAATAGTTATTACTATAGAGTTTACCTAATGGTGATTTTGTTTTTCTCATTCCTTATAACTTATTAATTAGAATTCTTCCATGTGGAAAAGCTATATCCCCACCCCCACCCAACCATGATTATATATTTATTCAATTTACCAGTATGGACTCATGGATATGTATTTTCTATAGGTTTTAATTTGACCTATCATTATTTTGTTGCTCAAATGCTTCCAGCTTTGATCATTGGAAGCTCCTTTAGGTTGGCTCCTGCAGCACTTTGACATGTCCCCAACATTTTTTGAGCACTTCTTTATTTTCTGGAATAACATGTTACAGATCATCTTATATTTTTCCTGATTTAGCCCTCGAATGAACCACTTCTGCCAAGATCCGTAGTTCTTCTTATTGGAGACTGATATTTATAAACCAAGACTTGGGCACTAGGTTTCTGTAATGTTGATTCTAAGGCATCTTTGCTCCTAGATTATTAAAGTATTATTGATTCTAAGAGTCAAAGCTATACCAAAAAGCATACTACTTGGTTTAACAAGTTGAAAAGAGAATTCTTGATTTTCTTCCTCAAGCCTATTTTCCCTTAAGCTTCTCCATTTCAGTAGGTGGCACCTCCCCAAACTCACATTCAATCCAGTAGGAAGTCTTGTTACTTCTATTCCAAAATGTATTAAAAATTGGATTGCTTCTTGTCATCTCAACTGCTGTAATTCTAGTCTAAGGCATTATATTTCTGGCTTGGACTGCTAGGTCTCTCTGAATCCATCCATACCCACTCTGTAGTCTTTTTTTCACACAGTAGTCAGAGTCATCTTTTTAAAGTATAACTCAGATAGTAGCACTCCACTGCTTAAAATCCTTCAGTGGCTCCCCAGTGTACTCAGAATATAGTGCAAACCTCTTGCCGACCTACAAGACCTTTGTGATTTGTCTCCTACCTAATCTCTGCTCCGTGGCTTTAGTCATTCTGGCCATTTACCTTTCTGTTCCTTGGCTAACTGAGCTCTATCTCATCTTGGGGTCTCTGTGCTTGGCCTCCCTGTTCCCTGAAACACTTTTTCCCCAGGTCTTTGCTTGCCTGACTGCTTTCTCAGTTCACATCATTGCCTTGGAGAGGCCTTCCTTGAACATGCTAAGCTAGTTAAAGAGGCAACCCCTGCCCTCTGGGCACTCTCTATCACATTTCCCTGTTTTCTTACTTTCTTAGCAGTGTTAATGATTTAAGTTTTCCTTGTTTATTGGTTTATGTATATTTTATTTGCCTCCCCTTATGAGAATAGAATTGCTGTAAGAACAGAGGCCTTTCTTATATTAACTATTAAATTCCCACTGCTAGAACAGGGGTTGGTCCTACTTGGTACTTAATGAGCATTAAATAATCTTAAGTGAATGAATAGAATTGAATTAAATGGAAACACTATCAATAGTTTACATACCCATACTTGTACTGTTTGTCCTTTTAATTTAACCATAGTCTTTAATGGATTTAATGGTCAACTTTTTTTCCCTTTCAACTAGCCATGTACACCTTCATGTCATCAGCCAGGATTTTGATTCTCCTTGCCTTAAAAACAAAAAACATTGGAATTCTTTTAATACAGAATACTTCCTAGAATCACAAGGTAAACAGTATTCTTTGATTTTCCCAATTGTTTCATTTTCTCAGCTGTTCTTATACTTGATTCAACTGTTTCCCTAAATAGTAACCTGGTTTCAAAACCCATGTATAACTTTGTGTTCCATGTAAAGAGAGCCTCATTAAGGGAAACTGGATTATTTGGATTATAGTAGGATTGTCACTTTGTTCTGAGCAGCCTTCCTGGGGGACCTTGAAAGCCGTTTTGTTAGGGTCAAAAAGGTGTTTTATTTTAACACCAGGGACTTAAAAATTGTTCTGATACTTATTGGGCTTCATAGATGTCAAAGCTCTAAATAGTTCTGTCTCTTCTGCCATCAGCTGGGCAGGAGCTTGGGGCTGCCTCATGCCAGGTGTGGTTAGTTAACAGGGGAAGGCTGTGTATACAGAAGAAAGCATTTCCCAGTGTGTATTCTGTGAACTTCCGTATGCTGGGAAGTTAACAATGACAGTAGCCATGGACCAAGGGCCAACCCATGGGTAAAGCACTGTGATAAGCCCTTGACATACTAACATGGATTGCTTAGAGTGTATCTAAAAGGGATGTAATCATCTCCAAAATAGGTTGCCCAGATTTAGAGCAAGATCAAACCCATTTTCCCAGCAATGAGTCTAACCTCAAATTTATTAGCTTTAGGGTACCCGTGATACTTTTATTTAGAGTCAAATTTTTTTTATTAATCTTGTATTAGTTTTCCAGAATAGCTGGGCTCTGAACTTTGTTCTTTGCTTGCAGCTGTGATCGAGATGGTGCAAGAGGCTGGCAGAGTAACTGTCCCAGATGGGATGCCTGAGCTCTTGAAACTGCCCCTGCGCTGTCATGAGTGCCAGCAGCTGCTGCCTTCCATTCCTCAGCTGAAAGAGCATCTCAGGAAGCACTGGCCAGAGTGACTCTGTGGAGCCTGAGCTTCTGCAGCAAGTGACTGAATGTTTAGAGCAAACTCCTGGCACCTGTTCTGGATTGCTTGTGAACTTTTATTTATTTCTTGAGTTAAAAAATGCAGATAATAACCCACACTATTATACATGCTTTTTATATTCAGTGAATCTCCATAATAAAGAATTAAAGATGGGTTCCACCTTAATTTATTTAGGACTTTATCAAGAAATGTTAAGTCACTAATCGCAATGTAGCCTGTTATATTTGATTCCCTACACCACTCATCTCTAGCCCTCTGCATCTGCAGCTGTACTGTTTACAGAGACTAACTCCTGAGGTCACTAGCTTTCTGTTTCTTCTCATGTCTGAATATTGCATTATGAAAGACATATTATTTGTCTTTATTACATATATGTACTATACATACTTGTGTATATTATAGATATACTTGTGACATATGTATGTATCACACATATTATCAATACAGCTATTATGTATATTGCAGATTCTTTTTATTCCCTATACAACTAGAATATTAAATAGATTTTTATGTCTATAAAGTAGATTAGGCATGGACTTTCATAATTAAGAATTACTTAATGGTAGTTTGGGCTTGGGAGGGATAGACCCCCTGCCCTAAAGTGCATATTAACACAAAAGAACAAATTCTCCATATCATCCAAATTTCCACAAGAAATTATAACCATGCCCCCACAATCTCAAAATGAAGACCAATATTATTAACTCTTTTAAAGAGAAAGTTTAATGCAAAATTTAGAATTCTTTAGACAATCTAGCTTTATAGGGTAAAGACATCACCAAAAAGCTGTTTGCATTTTGACAGAAGTAGGAGGTAAAGAAAAAAAAAACTATACAAAGGTGAAAAGACTTACATCTATTAAATGTGGAATCTTGAGAGCTTGCATCAACGTCTCTGATCAGCTGCAACTAAACATTAATGTGCTATCAGTTAAAATATAAGTAATCCCCAATTCCAGTGCCCAGAATGCAACCGGCTATTCATTAACCTAGTGCTTCTCAAGGTGGGGCTCTCAGGACAACAGTATCATTACCTGAGAACCTGTTAGACAAAAATTATTGGGTCCCACACCAGGTTCACTGAATCAGAAATACTGGGGATGGAGATCAGCAGTCTGTTTTAAAACATTTCCAAAGTTTGAGAATAACCACTTTACTTTTTCCAGCAGTAGTTATATAAAGAAATTCATTATGGAGCCATTTTGTGGCAAAGTTATTATCTTTGTGTCTTCTAAAACTAGTGCCCATTTAGAGAATTCTACTCTTACTTGATAGGAAGTTACCATTTGTTGAATCAGTCATTTGTTCTCTTTTTATGATGGCATAGAGGTGCCTAAGTTTCCTTACAAGCAGCATTAATTGTTTTGCATAAAGACTATAGACAATTATCTAGTGAAAAATAACCTTATTCAAAAGTCACTGTTACAAGGCGAAAGCTGTATCTATACAGGCATCATCAAATAGAGGGGAGTCATACCATCATTACACGAAAACTAGAAAATATCAAAATTATCCCACCTCAGAGAACTCTTTTTGAGGTCTTGTTGCTCTTTGAATAAAAGGTCCAATGGGATCCCCTAATGAACTATTTCTTTTACTTCTCTCTTTTCCTAACCTCTGGAGAGTCATGGCTACATCCAGGGTTCTTGGATGATAAAATCATAGAGTTTAAAATTTCCTGTATATAATGTGATAACCTTGGTCTACTATCACAAGAAACTTTACATGTGTCCCAAGGGAAAACACAGGAGGAGAGCCAGGGAGGGCCGGGAGCACCTTCCCAAAGGCTAACATAAGCTCAACAATGACAATAACAATAAAAATAAATGCCATTCCATGAAACATGAAATAAGCAGATTCAAATTTTAACTGCTTAACACCACCACTCTGGTTATCAGAAGAAAGGAGGCTAAAAAAAGCAGGGTTTTTTTTTGTTTTGTTTTTTTAAACAAAGCTTGTACTATTCCTGAGTGGCTACAATGTGGGGTGACTTGAAATGGTTCAAGAATTAGGAATTTGGGTTTGTCATGGTTATGTTCTCTGATTGGTGAGGGTGGCACTAGAAAAAAACACTGATGGTTTCTCAGGGACACCTAACTGGCGCTTTAATTTTATGAAGAGAGGAGGTTTGAGCATGAGGACATGAATGAAACTTGCCCCAAAACTTCCAGGAGCCTATGAGAATCGAGTTTTGAAATGTCATTCTTATGTTACCAATCTTTGAAAGACCTACAACTTTGAGATGTCCCAAATCACCAATATGGATGAAGTCCCACTCATTTATTGTGCCATCCAACAGAACGGTGGACATCAAAGGAGCAAAGACAGTGGCTCTTAAAACTAGTGATCATGAGAAAACACATTTCACTGTTCTAGCCTATTGTGCAGATGGGACAAAGCTACCACCTGTGATAATCTGTAAAAGGGAAATATTTCTGAACGAAAAGATTCCAAGTGGAGCTATTGTCCATGTGCATGAAAAAGGAAGGATAAATGAAGAAGGCATTAAAATCTGGTTTAACAAAGTCTGGTCACAAAGGCCTGGAGGATGACTTAAAAAACCAGGTTTGCTTGTTTCTGATCACATCAAAGCCCGTGTTAAAGTGCAAAGGCAATTGCAGCAGACTTGAAAACCCAACTTGCTATGATACCTGGTGGGCTAACCAGCCAACTTCAGCTTCTTGATGTGTCAGTAAACAAGCCCCCTAAGGCCTTAATGAAGAAAGAGCGGACTGTGTGGATGCAGCCAGCTGGTAATGATTGAACACCTACAGGCAGGATCAAGAAAGTATCCGAGGTTTGTGATTGGATCCTAAGATCGTGGAATGTTGTCAGGAAGTAGTTGTGAAATCACAGCTTGTTGTTTAAAAAATGCAACATCAACAATGCTATAGATGGAATTTAGGATGATGAAATTTACTGGGATGAGGAAGTAGAAGACACCGGTAATGTAGAAATTGAAGAAGATGATAATTTTGATAATGACAATGACAAAGAGTTCTTGGCTTCCTATGATGTGTAAATATTGTAAATTTGTTACTGGTACATAGAATTCTTGTACCTTGTATGTGCTCTTGCGTTTTGTAATTACCTGTTACATAAAATTTCTTGTACCATGATATGTTAGAAAAATAAATGCTAAAATTCCTTTATAATACAAAAAAGAAAAAAAATACCTAAATATAAATAAGTAAAAAAATTGAATTCAAAAATTAAAACAAAAGTTTTTCCTGAAAGTTTGGGCCCAAAATGTGGGTGTACATTGTACATTGCAAAATATGATTTAAAAAAAAAAATTCCCTAAAACTAACTTCTCTCTGGAAAGAGAAAAATCTCAATCCATAGAGACCACATTTGACCTCAGTGTCTTTCACAAGTAAATAAGATGCTACAGTGGTTTCTTGGTAAGCGTGGGTATAGTCATAATTAGCAGTAATTAATGATTATAGCAGCTAACACTCAATCCTGTGTGTCTGACATTATATTAAGCACTTTATTCAAGTGATCTCATTTACTTTTCACTGTATGTAAATCTGTGGTATAGATACTAGTGTTATGCCCCTTTAGAGGATGAGGACTTAATAGTCTATAAAGGATCTTGGGCTTCAAAGTTGGACTTGATTCTGGTGCATCAAATCCATTTTCCTTAGTAGTTGAAGAGTGTAAATGCAGTACTAATCATAGACCTGCAGGACACCTGCGCCTGTGCTTACCAAAACTTCCCATGGCATTTTATTGATTTCCCTGAGAACGATCTGTTCCTTTTGTTTATCTGTCACTACTCACTATTTTTCATCTCTGTCCTCTCTGTCCCTTCTGCTCTCCAGCCATGTAGTCCTTACCTCATTAGCCCAGCTGCCATAGTTCTTTCCGTCTGGCTCTGCCCTGCCTGATCCACTGTGTCCTCTGCTGCAGTGGCTGCCTACTTACCCTGTGGCCTGTGGGTTTTCCCCCAGCCCAGCTGCAGAGGGGAGGTGGCATCATAGTGTCTCCCTTGCTGTCATCAGGCACTGAAAGTCTTTTTAAACTTGTGGGCTTATTGGTTAAGAAAAGACCTTGGGTTCAGATCTGAGTCCCAGTCCTGGCTCTGGTGCTTGGCTGAGGGATCTTATGCAAGTTAATTATTTTCTCTGAACCCCAGGGTTATATGGGATTAAAAAAAATAGTCCATGTAGAACATTATCATAGTATCTGGCACAGAAGACTAAATAAATGGTGACTGGAAACCTCTGCTTTTATTTCCCTGGAAATTGGGAAGGAGGGATTGGTCTAGACCCCTCTCCACAGCTGATGCCTTAGAGCCCCTAGAAACTGTTTCTAAAGGTATACTCCATGGACTCTTGAGATCAGAATTACTAGTTACCTTTTAAAAAGTGTTAACATTGGCTCTACTGCAGAACTATTGAATCACAATCCCTTGGGCCTAGGAACTGTATTATAAAACATGCAGGATGGTTTTTATTCATACTGAAGTTTGAGAACCACAATATAAATGAACCCTTGGCTTCAAAGCACCTTGTATTTCTGAAGCTTCCAGATTAGCCCATGCCCTGCCAGGATATATACACCATTTTCTGGTTGGTTTCTGGGTCAGTTGTGGGTCTTCCTTTTCTCTGCAGGGTCAATGGTATTTGAGGATTCAGGGAGACCTTGGGCATTAGATGAGGGAAAGTGAGTGGTAGTAGGGACCAGCTCACCCTTTCTGCAAAGTTTGGGGTGGCCCTCTGGCCCAGGCTCTTAGGGACCAGGCCTGGAGGGGAGCTGCCTCTCTTCAGTGGTTCCCATCCCCTCTTCCTGTCCAGAGGCGAGTCCCAGAGGCTTGGCCTGGGTTCAAAGCATATGTATTTCTCCTCTTCTGAGTCTGTCTCTGGAATGTCCAGGTACAAATAGTCTTTCAAGGACCAGTCTATACTTGGGATGGCCACTAAGAGTTTCTGCAGGTTCAGGGGCATTTCTTGGAACCTGGCACCTGGCAATGTTACAAACACTGAATACGGCTGAATATCAGAGATTCAGGCTCACTTGTGTCAGAATTGGCCAAATTACCTCTCTCTGTCCCTTTAATCCCAACTTGGAGACTTCCACAGAGCTGTTAAGATTCTTCCATAGACTAGATTTTTAAGAACATGATGAAAACTATGAAGTCTGCTCCCCAGAATAATGTACATATGCACATTTTATATACTCTAATAGGGATTTTATGGAGGCCCTGAAGTGCTTCCATAGACTCCCTAGGGGTCTGTGGACCTCTACTTCAGAACCTCTCCTCTGGAGAAAAGGGTCATCACCATGAGCCTGGGATTTCAGGAGGTGTCTGGGCTATTATGGAGGACTAGGTGAAGATCTCATCTTCAGGATGTTTCTGGGATGCTGTCCTTTGATCTCAATGTCCTTTGATCTCAGCCCTTTGGTATGTGTACATCCTAGGGGCCTCTGGCAAGAGATAAAATT